AGACCCACTTTTCCAGTATTTACTAAAAGAATTCTTACTTTTTTGCTTTATTCTGTACATCTCTGTTTTGCACATATTAAATATATTTGTAGCTTTAAATTGTAAAATGTATGTAACATAAACTTTACCATCTAATAATTTTTAAGTGTGCAGTTCAGTAATGTTAAGTACATTTATCAGGGTCGCTCAATGTTTTGGCTTCTTTGGACCACATGGGAAGAATTGTCGTGGACCACACATAGAATACGCTAACACTAATAACAGCTAATGAGCGAAAGAAAGAAAGACAGAGAGAGAGAGAGAAAGAAAAGAAAAGAAAGAAAGCTGTATGCATAAATCTCATAATGAGTTTTTGTTTGTTTATTTGTTTTGACATGAACTTTGGTGGACACCTTTCAACCCTAACAGTCAGATCTAAGATTCTTAGTTGAAAGGATTTCCCCACTCAGTACTTTGAATTAATCAACCCTACTGCCTTCTGGCCTCCAAGGTTTCCGGTAAGGAATCTACCGATAATCTGACTGAGGATCCTTTGTATGTGAGAAGTAGCTTCTCCCTTGTTTCATTCAAGGTTCTTTGTCTTTTGATACCTTGATTATAACGTGTCTTGAGTGATACACTTTGAATTTATCCTATTTTGAGTTTGTTGAGCTTCTTGGTTTCTGTGAAAGTAAGTTTTTGTAGAGACAGGGACTCATGGCCAGGCGCAGTGGCTCACGCCTGTAATCCCAGCACTTTGGGAGACCAGCCAAGGCCGGTGGATCACCTGAGGTCAGGAGGTCAAGACCAGCCTAACCAACAGGGAGAAACCGTCTCTACTAAAAATACAAAATTAGCTGGGCATGGCAGTGCATGCCTGTAATCCTAGCTACTCGGGAGGCTGAGGCAACAGAATCGCTTGAACCCAGGAGGCGGAGGTTGCAGTGAACTGAGATTGCACCATTGCAACAAGAGCAAAACTTTGTCTCAAAAAAAAAAAAAAAGACAGGGTGTCACTCAGTCACCCAGGCTGAAAGGGCTCAAGCAATCCTTTCACATGATCCTCCTGAGTAGCTGAGATTGCACATGCACACCACCATACCAGCTTTTCATTTTAATTATGATTTTTTCATAAAGACAGGGTCTCACTATGTTTCCCAGGCTGACCTTGAGTTCCTGGCTTGTAACAACCCTTCCACATTGGCCTCCCAAAGCACTGAGGTTACAGGTGGGAGCCACCATGCCAAGCCTTGGATATTTACAATGTTTTAAATCAAATTTGGGAAGTTTCTTAGATTTTCATCATTTCTTCAGATGTTCTTTTATTCCCTCTGTTTGTTCTGTGATTCTTACAAACTGTTGTTGGTCCACTTGATGCTGTCCCACAGGTCCCTGAAGCTCAGTTGATATTTCTGCAACCATTTTCTTTCTGTTTCTGACACAGGATTATTTCAATTGTTTTGTCTTCAGATTTGCTAATTCTTTCCTCTGCTTGGTCAAATCTGTTTTTAATCCCTTCTAATAATTTTTTTTTTTTTTTTTTGAGACGGAGTCTCTCTCTGTCACCCAGGCTGGAGTACAGTAGTGCGATCTCAGCTCACTGCAACCTCCACCCCCCGGGTCCACGCGATTCTGCTGGGACTACAGGCGCGTGCCACCACACCTGGCTAATTTTTGTATTTTTAGTAGAGACGGGGTTTTATCATGTTGCCCAGGCTGGTGTCAATCTCCAGACCTCTTGATCTGCGCCTCAGCCTCCCAAAGTGCTGGGATTACAGGCGTGAGCCACTGCGCCCAGCCCCTTCTAGTAAAATGTTTTTATTTCAGGTATTTTAATTTTTAGTTGCAGAATTTCTTTTTGATTCCTTTTTATAATTATCTCTTTATTGAGGTTCTTATTTTGCTCACAGGTCATTTTCCTGTAGTGTCCATGTCTGTCTTTAGCTCTTTGGGCATCTTTAAGAGTTACGGTTAAGTTTTTGTCTAATAAGTATGCCTGATATCTGAGTATCCTCAATTGTATTTTATATTCACTTACTTAGTTCCTTTTAAGGGGCCATACCTTCCAGTTTCTTTGTGTGCCTTGTGATTTGTTTTTGTTATAAACTGGATATTTTAAACGTAAAAATGTGGTAGCTCAGGAAGTTATATTCCCTTTTTACTACAAGATTTACTGTTACTTTTTTTTTTTTTTTTTTTTTTTGCGACGGAGTCTTGCTCCGTCCCCCAAGCTGGAGTGCAGCGGCGCAATCTCGGCAAGAATTCAACATTTATTCTGTGGAGCCAAAGGAATTGTTGATAAATTCTGTGGTTGAAATTAGGGTTATTGGAGGGAGAGTTTATTAAAACTGTTTCGCTCAGAGTCTGACTTTGATATAATAGATGTAAGAAGTCACCGTTCATTTTTTTTTTTTTTTT